CACGAAGAGTCAGACATGACTTAACGACTAAACAACAACAGCATTTTTAAAGCTTATTAAGTACATTGAAATTCTGGACTTGTTTCCTCCAAAATAAACCACCCTCAGAAAAGCAGCTATACAGTGGTGCCTCACTTAACAACTGCCCCGCATTATGACCAATCCGCTTTACGACAATCTTTTTGCGATTGCAATTGCTATCGCAAACTGATGGTCTAAATGGGGGAATTTCGCTTAGCAATGATCGGTTCCCTGCTTTGGAACCGATATTCACTTTACAATGTTCAAAAACAGCTGATCGTTGGGTTTTCCAAATGGCTGCTTGGTGCTTAAAATGGCTCCCCGCTGTGCTTAGGGACAGATTTCTCGCTATACAGGCAGCAAAAATGGCTGCCGTATGGACGATCTTTGCTGGACGGTGAGTTTTTACCCCATTGGAACGCATTGAACGGTTTTCAATGCAATTCCAATGGGGTTTTTAATTTCGCTTTACGATGTTTTTGCTTAACAGCGATTTTCCTGGAATGGATTATCGTCGTTAAGTGAGGCACCACTGTATATAGCAGTGGACACTTTAAATACACATTTTATACACTACATAAAGTGTATACACACATTTCACTTATTTGTTGGAATAAGTGAACACTTATAGTGTTGGAAAAGAGTTTTACAGAGAACATGACTCATCAGAAAGATAAGTAAAGCAAATAAATGTGGACTTTCGCTACAAGCTAAAATAACCAAACAAAGGGTACTGTACTACCATCATAAAAAGACAAGCTCACTGGAAAAGGCAGCACGTGAGATGGATTGACACAATAAAGAAACCCACAGTCTTTTGTTTGTAAGCTCTTTTGTTTGGTGTTGCACTCAAAGTAGGACCAGGAGTAGAAAGACTGGGATTCAGATTTTGGGAATAAACTGTGATATTCTTGCCTGCTTTGGGGACGAGAAATAGAGAAACCCAATTGCTACACACTTCATATTTCTGCTGTTCTCAGCAAACTGCAGATCTAAATGCAGTGGAAATTAACAGTTTTGAGACACACACACAATTTTTCCTAGGTTTTGAGCCACTTTTCAGTTTTGAGTCAAACACACACACACACACAATTTTTCCTAGGTTTTGAGCCACTTTTCAGTTTTGAGTCACACACATACAAACACAGAGACAAATTTTTTCCTAAACTTTTAATTCTACAGCATTAACACAGAACCCTTTGACAAGAAAAAAAACAAGTTCCCAAAGAGACATTCTGCTCTGATGAAACAAACTCAGGGTAACATTTATACCAGATACAAGTACACACCTCACTCCCTCTATTTTGTACATATATTTGAAGTCGCATGTTCCTTCCCTGCTTAACCTGCAGCCTTTCCCTCCTGCTTGCAAAGTCAACTCGGGCGGGGCCAGAAGCAGTCATTTGACTCCTGGGGCCCAGCTGTAACCAATCAAGCAGGCTTATCTCCGATCTCTTAAAGAGATATCTTAAAGAAGGAATGCCAGAACCCAGGAAATTAGCAAGAAGAGATGGCTGACGATAGTTTGAGGTTTGGGGGTGGGGTAGCGGGGGGTAGTGCTCTGCTTGCGTGCCAAGGGAGACGTCTCCGCATGCCACAGGCGGCACACATGCCATAGGTTCGCCATCACTGCTCTATACTCATTTTTAGAAGCTACACATTATCTGCACAGCCTGAATATAAACACTAGAGAACTTGAGGCTTTGCAAAACATTGAGATGGTTCATATGCCACAGCAGCTAGCATGTAACATAATAACTAGTAGTGAAGATAAAAAGTAGTAAAGAAGTGTTCTTCAATATTTTTATTAATGACTTGGATGAGGGAGTGCAGGGAATGCTTGTCAAATTTGCAGATGATACCAAATTGGGCAGAATAGCCTATACCCTAGAAAAGTGGTCCCCAAACTTTTTGGGACCATGGACTGGTTGGGGGGTGCAGGATCCATGTGCGTGGGGGCACCCCCGCGTTCGCAGAGGGGCATGTCACGCTCATGCGCATGCCCATGAGCACGACAGGTCCACTGTGCGTGTGTGCGAGGGGGGGAAGATCCATCTCCGCGGCCCATTTCCAGGAAGCCCACGGACTGGCACTGGGCCACAGACTGGGGGTTGGGGACCCCTGCCCTAGAAGACAGAAACAAAATTCAAAATGACCTTGATAGGAGGCATTCAAGAAAAACTTAGATAATCACCTGGCAGATATGCTTTTTATTCCTGTATTGAGCAGGAGGTTGGACTTGATGGCCTTGTAGGCCCCTTCCAACTTCACTTTTCTATGATTCAAATATCAATTATGAAGAATTGCATGAATGTAGTAGCTGAAATCCTGTTGGGCAGATCTACATGCACAACAGGGGAGACATCATCATCAATGGGAAATTACTGTTAATTAAAAGTAATTTCTGGGTTCATACAACCCGTACAGAAAGCAACACAGTTGTGTGCACCTCAAAATCATCAAATGAAACCTTTAATTAGTGGCAATTCACCACAAATGGTGACAGCAATACCATGATGCATGCAGAGCTGTGCGACAGGATTTCTGTCAGTATTTGCCAAAACTAGAACATAACAGCAGCTTGCCAATCAAAATGTTGTACAATATAAATTTTCAACAGTATAATTTTTCCTTTAGCAAACATTCAGTTATAAACAAGCCTATACCAACCCATTCTAATTAGCAAGAAATAAAGAATCAAACAATTTCTTTTGGCAAGCATAATGACTGTTGTGAAAGAGCAAACATATGCAAAGTCTACTTACCATTACGGTGGGATTCTAAATGTTGTTTAGCTGAGCATGTCTCCCCCTTGATGTCACCTGGCACTTCCATGCCCAATTTGTGATAGAATTCCCTCTGCTTTCTCATTTCCGCTGTTTAACATTTTAAAATAGTGTCTTTAGCTAAGATCTGTGGATTTATCAACTCAAAAAACACTATTCTGTTTACCCTTTCAAAAAATGGATCAAGAGCACCCTCTAATGTTCAGCTGCTGCTCTGTGGCTGAAATATTATACCCTTTGACAAACTTCAAATCTGAAAACCTTCTGAAACAATATGTTACTTTTAATTTCAGATCCAATATGGAAGATATTACTTAGAAATTCTTGAGATAGAGAAAACTGTCAGAATTTTTTGCATCAGGAAACTCACTTCTTGCATTTACTCTTATAGGCAAGTCTCCTTTATGCAATGGAAAAGAAGATAGCTATCTTTTAAGCAGAAGGTCCTTTTAAGGAGAAAGGCAGGGTATGTATGCATGTACGTATGTATGTATGAACAAATGTACACACCTATGTATGAACGAATGCACAGTACGTACGTGCGTACACAGGTACAAACGAATGTACATACAAACGAACGAATCAATATCCTTTAAACATTTAGAACAGTTAGCCAGGTTCTGTTAAAAACCTTCATTTATCTCTGGACTAGCTCAGATCTTGTGTATTACCATTAAATTTCACCCTTCCCCATAATTTTTGATATTTTCAATAACAGATGGGCAAACAGGAGATGCTTATGTTTTAATGGCTGCAATAAGGACACTCCAGATGTAATGTTCCACATTTGGAACTTCCAGCATATCTTCCTTTCCGAAAAACTAACCATGGAACATGTTTCCTTCCACCAACTCTGAAGTGATCTGAATCATGGGCACAGCATAAAGGGTGATGGTGAGTCCTCTTCTCTGGTCTAAATGGAGGACCTTGCAATTATGCTGGGAGCTTCAATGTAACAGGTAATCTAGTCTTTATTTTTTAATTAAGTGTAACCCATCTAAACTATGTTACATTACCCATGACTTTTTGCAACTGTATAAAGCCATGAACCATCTAAATCTCACTAAGTTAATTAATCTCACGTAAATGTTTACTGCAGAGCATAATAATATTTACCTTCTTGAAGACCTGGAACAAGTTTGTAAACAATGTCTTGCATTGTTCTGTCATGACTGGCAAAAAACAAAAAAAGATTGCAGGATAAGTGCCAGTACACCATCCCTTCCCTTAAGGTGTACATAAAAGGGTAGCTACAGAAGGAAAGATGGGTAAAGCAAGGCATGTAGTTATATACCACCCCATAGCACTTACAGCACTCTCTCGGCAGTTTACAATTTAATTACACATTGCCTGCACCTCTAGTGAGTTGGGTACTCAATTAACCAACCTAGGAAGAATGGAAGGCTGAGTGAACCTCAAGCAGGCTACCTGGGATAGAACCTGGGTTGTGAGAAAATTTTTGGCTGCAGTGCTGCAGTTTAACCACTGCACCACAAGGCTCCTTGTGTGTAGCTTCCTGTATCATATCTCATTGTGCAGCCCAATCAAGTGATGAAACAGAAAATGGCATGTGAGTACTTCTAAATCAGCCTGTTTTTCATAAGTGCATGCCCATGAAATTTTTGAAATATTACCACTAAACACTGTACTTACCCAATATATTGTAGTGGATGGCTCTGATGTATAACTATCCTGCACGTGGGACAGGTATTATTTTCCTCCAAATACTTTACCAAGCAACTCCTGCAGACTGTACAAAAAATATTTACAATTAAGATGACTCCACGAAAACAATGATATGCTTCTTGTCAGCTATACTGAAACTTTTTTATCATTTCCAAAAATGCTTTGCCAACTTGCCAAAGTTAAATGCAATATATGTATGCATTACATATTACAAGGACTCTTTCCATTCAACTTTCAGGTTTAGCAACTGCAGCAGTACTGACCCAATAAGCCATTATTGTCTAATAGATATTTTGTATCTTGTGGTACTTCTATTCCTTGTTAAAAGGCTTATTAATTCCCTCATACATTGTAGGAAGAATCGGAAGAAAATAATGCAGAAACTTAAGAAATGAAAGATTTGTACTAGAGATGGGGGCTTCATATTTGTATATGAATAGGAATACAAAGCCGCCCTGATTATCTCCCACCTTGCTGGACCGCTTACCATGCAGCATGCATTGCAGGCGTCATTGTCACCGTGCCAATCACGGCAGTAGCTTGGCTGCCGCAGCCTCACCTCCCTGCTCACCCAGTCACTCTGTGGCTCAGCAGGGAGACTAGTCCTCCCACCCCCTTGCCAGAGGGAGGCGGGGTTGTGGCAGCCAGGTTACTGCCACTATTGGCGTGGTGACACTGACACTGGTGATGTGCACTGCACAGTAAGTGGTCCAGCAGGGTCTGGTGGTAGGAGACCATCAGGGCGGCCACTTGTGCCGGGGCCCATCTCTATTTTGTACCAATTGTACATATCTCTCTCAGGCAGGAGTGCTCACTTTTCCCCATCCACCCACCCCCAACTTGACAAAAGTATACACTGAATATGTAAGCCTGTGGCCAAATATAGTACTGGCACTGCACAGTAAGCGGTCCAGCAGGGTCTGGTGGTAGGAGACCATCAGGGCGGCCACTTGTGCCGGGGCCCATCTCTATTTTGTACCAATTGTACATATCTCTCTCAGGCAGGAGTGCTCACTTTTCCCCATCCACCCACCCCCAACTTGACAAAAGTATACACTGAATATGTAAGCCTGTGGCCAAATATAGTACTCAACACATCTGAGGAAGCAGTTTGTAAAGGATAAAAGCTCACAGTGAAATAAATATTTCGTATCACAATGGTTCTGTTTTGATTGTTTGCTTTTGTGATACAGAATGGTAAGTTATTAAAAATTAGTTTTCTAAAGAACAGCAATATTTTCTGGCACTTAAAGTCACTTTGAGATCTCTTAACATAACAAAGAACATTCTAAACTATTTGTTGTTCATATCAGGCTATTCAAAATTTTAACCAATATTACTCTGACAGTCAATGCAATCCAATGAGAGACCATGATTTTATTAACATTTACCTGTACCCTCAGTTCTGGTCTTAAATCAAAGACTGTTTCCTTCCATAGCACATGAGTTTAAAACTGTTTTGAAAGCTGTACAGTACTGACGCCTGGCCGCTGTAGTTAAACAATGCCATCCACATCTCATAATAAATGATGCACATTTTAGCAGAGAAAAGCCCAGGACAAAATGCAATCTAAGAAGTGTTTAATAGCACCTAGGATGACACACTCTGATTAAAATACTGTTGTGTAACATGAGCAAATTTGTTATTTTTGGTCTATTCCTCAATGATAAATAAAGAGTCCTGAAGAACTGCAGTGGGGTCTCTTTATTTATTGACCAGGAACAGAATGAAACTTACAAATGCCCTTGTTCCACAATAGGATTTTGACATTTGAGTCTTTAGGGAATAGACTAGGTAACAGGTGGACTGGAATGGAATTGGGTTGAATGAGGACTTCCTAATAAAAACTGATGCCAAAAACAGTGGGATGCAATGGACAAACATCAGAACAATATTTTAGACCTCAAACGTGAAAAAATTACTCTTTCTATAACTCCTTATTACCTCAAAACCCACCAGAACAGAACATAATGGCTGAGAACGGCAACTTCCGAGTATGATAATCAAACCTAATTCATGATATAATGCATGACTAGATAAAACAGATGCAGCCAGCCACAAATTATCCACAGGAACACAATTTCAGTACCTGTTTGGGGCAGAAAAAGCAATATTGCAAAAAAAACCAAAACAAAAAAAACCAGTATAGAACAGTGACTTCTGAGTAGGTCAGCCCAAACAAATTCACCCTTCCCATTCAACTAGAGAAGACCAATTCAACCAGCCTCAAAATGTCCCCAGAAACCATATGCCAGTACTCTTGGGCAATAAATTTACATTGGGAAAAACAGCCTGGAACAGTGACTTCCAAGCACGGCAGCACAATGAAATTCATTTGTCCCATATGGCTATAGGCAACTATTGCAAACAGCCTCCAAATGCCCAAAGGAACAATGCCCCAGTACCCACTCAATTCAGAAAATCAATATTTGGGGAGGGGAACTGAGAACAGCAACTCTGGATTCCAACAGCCTAAATGCAATTCAACTGTCAGATCTAATGAGAAGGGACTTACCACAGCAAGTCCCAGCCCCAGCCACCACATTCTGGTCAGAAAATCCATACTGAACGAAATAGCCCAGAGCAGTGATATTTACATGTCACATCAGATGAGAAGGGAATGATGTAACAATGTACAAAACGTCATCAGGAAGCACATTCTAGTACCCACTACGGGGGAGGGGGGGGGAACCAAAATTATGCAGGACAGTCCAGACTGGTAGCTTCCAAGTAGGATAGCATTATAGTGGGGGAGGAGGGTAGACGGTAACCAGCCACAATATTGTTACAGGAATCACATTCCAGGGACCGTTCTGAGTCAAATTTTTGAAAAGGCTGCGAACAACAGCTTTCAAACTGGTGACAGCAACCGATTCAGCAGTCATATATGAATGGATGGGAGTAATACATCAAACCACTGACCTTCCACAAGAACCACAGCTCATACAATGAAAATGAGATTGCAGCTCTATGCTTTCTGCCAGCGTTCCCAGAACTATTGTTTTGACTTAGCCTGGAGAAGAGAGACTGAGAGAGAGTAAGCAGTTGTCCTGTACCTTCAAGCTGTTTAAGTTTTTTTAAAAAATCTTCTGCGATGGGTGATTTTCATTAAGCTGCCCTACCCAGAAGTTGTTCTAGACTGATTCTTGCAATATGGATTTTCTGCCCAGAAGGAGTATTTGTTGTTCATGTGGTATTTGGGGCTGGTTACAACAACTCCCTCTAGTCAGATGAGACGGGTGAACATCCTTGGGCTGTCCTACTCAGAAGCCACTATTCTGAGCATTTTTCTCAAGATCAGTTTTTTGCTCAGAATGATTACTGGAACATTATTCCCAGAAGCATTTAGGGGCTGATTGCATTGGTCCCCTCTAGTCAGATGGGAAGGGTGAATTTCATTGGGCTACCCTACTTGGAAGTCAATAAAGAGTTCATGAAAGAGTCATATTTTTTAGGTTTGGTGTCTAAAATAATGTCCAAATGTTTGTCCATTGCATCCCAATGTTTCTGACATCAATTTTTATTAAGCAAAAAGGCCCTGAATCCTTTGGAGGAGTAAGGCAAGGCAAAAATATTTTAAAGAAATAAATACAAAATAAAAATAAAGAGTGCAAAAACGTTGTGGCGTCTTGAAGATGAAGTGGTATATTATGTTAGCTTTCCTGGACATGTACACTTCATCAGACCATTTTATACATTTTTATTAAGATGTCCCCATTCTGCCCTGTACCAGATTTGCCTAATCCACTTAGGTATGTATGTGGAAGGAGGTATGCAAACAAAGCAGAGATAAATGGCAAAAAAGTGCCCTCAACCAAATCCACATATCCAGTTTGCCATCTAGCTTTCCTAACATAGATAATAAGAGAAACACTGCCTGACAGCCTGTTGTTTAGCACAGTTAAGTCTCAATGAGAGTATGCTCTTTGAATCAATGGAGCTTGCAAGGGAGTTAGTGATACAGCACATTATTTGCAGTCAAATAAGTAATAGATTCAGGTTTAACCTGACCCTCTAGCCTGTCTTTCTCATAGAAAGTAGCATCCGATTTAGCCAATTGTTGGATATACTTGTAATCCAAATTTCTCTGTATGCACAATCTACACCTGTATGGCGTGGTATAGAAGTTTAGTATGTGGTTTGGGTAAGATGACAAGAGTTTGTATGGAAAGAATGTGTGTAATTTATGGCACATGATCTCTCAGAACACGTTTATGTTTCAAATTATGATTTTTCTTTTTAGAGATCAATCTACTGGAATTAGTCTTGCCAAAATCTCAAAGAAAAACTCACAGCTGATATAAAATAAAGCATAGCTTAATTATGTTACTTTCAGACTACAGTATTTCCTTTCATACTTACAGGTATGCAAGCATTCTGTTACAGTGGTAGCATCAATAAGGTAACCATTGCACAGACGGCAGGTGATATGGGCATTGATGTCCCAAAGCTTTATCTTTCTCGTCAGCATCTTTGGTGTCTGTAAGAAAAGCAGGGTAGGCAGTTTCTCCAAGTGTTCCTATAATTTAAAAGCTTTTCATTTGCAATCAACCTGCAGTATAGTAGAATATTTTTTTCTATCTAACAAGAACATAATTAATAGGGGAAACATGGTTTAAGAATAGGAAGAATGTGAAACAATTAAATGATATGCTCTAGCTTTAATTTGTTCCCATTCTGTGGAGTGCCCCTACACATGTGGCAAGGTGCCCACAATTTTTCTGGATTCTACTTCCATTGAAAATCCTTCTTGTGAAACAAGCATTTCCTGGGCAATATATGCCAGACACTGTTTTATTACTGCATTTGTTTTTATTGCAACTTTTTCTAAATTTCTTTGTTCTAACCCACTGTACACCATGCTAAAATATTCAATATGGGATGCTAATAAATTCAATTAACAAAGTAAATAAAGACAAGTTTAATCTTTTGTATTCTGGACTCAGTGCACTCTATATAATCAGGAAAACTAGTTCTTTGAAGCAGGTGATGAAATGAACAACATATACCACTGAAAGTGTCACTGGTGATACATAGTTGAATATTTCTCAGGACATTTTTCTATTATTATTCTATTATTATTATAGCTTCTTCCTAAAAATGTGTGGTTTCATAAAATGAATTAGTAACATAATAAATGAATGCAATACAGTACTAACTTTTCTTGGTGATTAGGCTTAGGAAGTCTATATTCATCTGATAAATACAAATGCACAGCTCTTTGGGTAAACTAGAATTAGTGGACGAAATCTAATGCTCCACTAATAGAACTTCCAAATTTTCTTTCTTTCCCACATCCTAGCAGTCCTTCTCATCTCCAAAAAGCCAGCTTCAGACGGTTTACCAACTCTCCAGAATATGTTTTGAGGATAGACAGGCTGCTGCTGTAGAAGAGAGGACCCTTCTATTTCCAAACAGAATCTGTTGTTTCATCACCTTCCCAGTATGTTAACATTTTCTTCATTTCCACAAACCCACCCGTCCCCGTCCCCGCCTTAAACAGGGTATGGTCTTGCCTCACATCTGCTGGTTTTTAGTTTTTTCTTTTAAGAACCAGGCCAGAAATATGGAGCTGAAAAACTGATTTCCCCAAGAGTCCATTCAATTCAATCAATAAAATGAAAGTGCGCAATACACTGATTTCCTATGAAATTATGCACAAACAAATGCAATGTCTATTCTAAAATTAAGAGAAATTTTTTAAGGAGTTGTGGCCCTTAAATTCACTCACACACTAAAAACATTGATCCTGGAAGTTAAGGCTTACTTTCTCTGCCTCATGTGAACACTATGTATTTTCTACAGTCTTTTATATTGTGTTACTTTATAATTTATTATCTGAATACATTAATATTTGTATGTGGTCTTTCAGTCCCAATCCCCTGCAGTTTGGAACGGGATAAGTAACACTCAAGACGCTATGGGAGCAGTGCCTATCTAACCACCATGATTTCCCTGTATCTAAATCCAACCACACTGGTTCAGATAAAGGCTATCAGCACTCATTAACACAATAAAAAGGAGGGCACACTGCTCAAAATATAATTAAAACATAACTGAACATAATATATCACTAAGTCCATTTTAAGACGTGGGAAGGTCTTTATTTCTACATTATAATCTTGGTATTCTTCCTCCAAGAATTACAGAATCTATATGTATTGCAATTTAAGTATATATTTATTCATTTTAATTAGGGATGTGCATTCTGATTTGGAAACATTCCGAATTCACCAAATAATGCCATGTTTGGATAGTTTTGAATATATTCAAATCCAAATATGATAGTTCTGAATATATATAATAATAATCCCTAATGAGTCCTATGCATTCCTATAGATTAAAAAGCAAAAGATTGGGTCTCAGCTTGGCTAGAGGAAGAAGTGAAAGTGAAACCTATTTCTCAGGAATTCTGTAGTGATATCTTAAGGAAAGAAATATAAAGACAGTCTGGCACAAAGGACAGTGAGTGCAGGGTATTTTTTGTTTTGTTTTGTTTCAGATTCACTGCAACTCATATAGGCAAAATGACGAGGAAGGAAGCAGGGATGAGGCATTCTCCACTCATCCTGTTCATGACTCTGGGTTACAAAATGACTGGACATAGTTTAAGTCTGTAAGGAATTGTTTGATATTTTTCTCAGGTGAATAGCTGTCACATGCATTATTACCTATGAATTAAAGCAGTGTGTAACTTGGAAAAAATTGTCTTTGTGTTAATATGATTAGACAGATGAATCCTTTAAAAATAATTGTTCATTTTCATTCTTTGCGCTCGAGCTTGTGAATGCAAATTCAAGTTTTTATCTATATGCTTTGAATTCTCACCATGCCCACGCCTACATTTTTGCATTCATCGAGGAGAAATCTGGGGATGTTCTAAGTCAGCCACACTGAAAGATACCTAGATTTAGAATTAAAAATTCTGAGAAATCAAACTGAAAAAAAAATTTTGTTATGAACATAGCCAACGTTCATAAATACTGGTCAGACCCAGACACTGCTTTCTGCCAATGGAAAAGTTCCATCCAGTGAAGATTTCTGGTCCAGCAGAAGTATCCTACTGGCAGAATGGAGAGGAGGTAATTTTGACACTGCGAAACTGTTCTTAAGGGTTAGGAAACCCTCCAGAACAAAGCAAAAAAAAAATGGTGCTGAGGGTGATCAAGTTAGTGCTGCGGAATAAGAATCCACGGAAATCAGCTCCAATTGTTTCTGCCAGGGCAAAGGTTTTGAGCAGAATTCCACTCCAACCCAAACTCAAGATTTCATGAAAGCAACTGAAATTTAACAAAATAAAATAAACCTATGACCTACACACATTTTAGGATTGTGAAAAACCACACTGGTGGAAAAGAAACATAGTATTAGATAATGAAAACAGGAGGGAATGCTTTTTTAAAACCATCTGACACGGCAGGTGTCAACAAATTAAGATGGTTTACAGTAAGAACTACTAAGACTTTTTTGGCTCCAAAATACTTATAACTTTATTTTGCAACATATTAATTGGACTACAGCAAGGTATTCAAGAAATATGTGTCCTCAGAACTGTTTAAAGGTAAGTATTCATCAACCATATTTTCTCTCTCCAGCTATTCAATAGATAATTAAATAAAAGTAGCTCATACAAGTCAAACTAAGGAACCAAGTTTCTGAAATAAAAATATAATTTTTAACTAAAAATATAACTGAATAAATTGCTCTCTTTCCAAAGATTCAATAAACTGCTCTCTTCCCAAAGATTTCTGGTAGCATACGGTACTTGAGTCAACAGGAATACAAATACTTCATAGCCAATCAGGCTGCATCCATGGGCAGAGATTAAACCAGTCTTAAAAATAGTATTGGCCATCTAATATAAGTATATAAAAACAATTAGAAAAACATACCTCAACAACAACAACAACAACAACAACAACAAAATACAGAGATCTGGCAATCAAACATTTTGCTTGTGGATGAAAGACACTTCAGTGGTTCCCCATAGTCACTGGGGCCTTGAGAACAATATCAAGAAATTTCACACAGTATTATAAGCAGTTGCAGATCTCAGAAATAACACCATCAGAGCTACAAAAACCAGCAATACAATGAACAGCACACATACTGCACCAATATTTAACAAGTTTTTGTTTAAAACTTGTATCTGTTATATAATAACAGTCAATGTTTTTATAATTTTGATTGAATGTGTCTGGTATTTGGGAATATTTTTGAATAATAAAATAAGCATTCTGAAATAATTATCAAGTTATGAAATTAACTTGAAAAGCTTGTGAAGCAGGCAATGAGTTATGTCTTTTCATGGCTTGTTTAACAAATTTAGCAGTCATATAGGATTTATAGTAGTCTGTGCCAGAAATAACAGAAATAAAACTATACATGAAGGGGAGATGTTCTTGATCCTCATTATTAATGGTTTAAGATATTGATCCTTCAAACCTGCTCACAGAGAGTATTCTGTTAGAAATGCACCATACCCTCCATTTTAGAGGTCCATATAATGTCCCTCAATCTCTTTCAACTGCAACAAGTTTAATTTAGTTAGGAGTTGTCTCAGCTCGTGTGAGCTAATAAGAGATAAATATGAGGCACCTTTCCAAAAGGCATGGAAAAGCCTTGGTATACCCTACTGGAGTGGCAGGTACCTACAGATGCCATGGTAGTCTGGATATTCATATCATAATTTAAATAATATCTTCTTGGGCAGCCTCATATCCCCTCCTGTGGAGGGAGGCTGGGGAGTAACCCAGCTTTAATAGAATTGTGAATATCTTAGCAGCCCAAGAATCCCTTCCCATTTCTTCACAGGCCATTGAGATCAATGGTGAGGCCATATGATACACTATCCAGAGCCAGAACAGCACAGCTAAATTCTTAGCAAGAGTACCCATGGAGTAGCACAATGTCTCAGAGCAGACTGTGGCCATGGAAGTAGATCTTGGTACTCCTAATTTTCTGATTTAAAAAATTTTGGTCAGATTCCACTACTGTAATATTTGAAAAAGCCAACACTGGGGTTCCAAAGAGCATCTGAAGAAGCAATTTGTGTTTACACAATTGTATTAACAATAGGACCATTTTCCCACCTGGTCCAGAAGAAAAACAATAAATAGCATTAGTGGATACTTCAGCTGATGGACCAATAGATTCTAAGTGATCTGATCATGTTCCTGAATGTTTAAATGTTACTCCAAGGTATTTATATGAGTTGGTCTGTTCGAGAAGTTTTCTGTTCAGCTGCCATATGTATTTCTTTCTCCTCTCCCCAAAAAACTAAAATTTTGATTTTGGTGTCATTTACCTGGAGATTTTCCTTGGCAAAATAAGCACCTAATGCTCTTAATAGTCTTTGCATGCCCACCTGGGCACAGGACAGGAGAACAGCATCATCCGCATACAAAAGTACTGATCTACTCCTGTCCTTTAAATAGGGTGGGGAAAACGTTGCCGTCAATGCATAGCATTATCTTGCTATGAAACATACCTCTTAAAACTGCATTTCTTTTCAGAGTCTGCCATCCAGAGACCTGAAAAACAATTAAAACAATTTGGAAGTTAAAACTACAAGTGTCAGAATGAGTATCAATTATCACAACAATTTAAATAAACACCTCAGCACATAACGTGAGATGGGGCTAACTTTTAAGAAGCATATAACCATCAGAGTCCATAGGAAGAAAAACTTGAGAGGTATGATAATGTAGCTACATTAACCAAAACCAACTGTAGGAGTCATTCTTATCTTCCAGCACAGGATGACAGGACTGACAAACTTTTATAAACTTTATCTGTCAGCATAAAATTTAGTGAAGCTAATCATGCTCTCTTGCTGCTTAACATAGACCCTAGATCAGTAGTTCTTAACCTTTTCTCTACCATGGACCCCCTTTAAATATATTTTGTTGCAGCAGACCACCAAGACTTAAATCAAGATTTAAAACTCTAAAGTGCATCAAATATTTAAATTCCTCATGAAGGATCTTCAAATTTGGAGAGAAAGGAGAAATAAGTTAATCTAATGCACACACTCCTGTTATAACATTTTTATTGGAATGATTCTATACAATTATAACAACAACAGCAACTGTCTTTAATTCTTGCTGGGGAAACTGAAATTACAAGCACAAAATCAACAATTACAAAATCATTAATACGACACATTTATACAAAATATCACATGAAAATGAAAGCTAGAAAATGGCATAACTATAATTTGTACAAAACTGTTCCTGATTAAACACATGGGTGGGAAAAAAGGGAACATATTATATTCATATAATTAATGTGAAGACTGGTGATACATTTCACTTGCAAGGCTTGTCATGTCAGGCTTAATAGCTGAAACATGCATTCTGAGGTCTGATTCAACATTTTTCAAACAGTTTCTATACTTATTTTAAGATAAATGATAGCAGAGAATGATTTTTCGCACAAGTATGTTATTACGAAAGGCTTTCATAGTTTCATACTTTCATAGCACTCTTCGATAGTTCCAGAAAATCTGCTTGTAGGTGAGCCCAGAAATTTGGAAGGCACTGTTCCTTGAATCGCAGTTTCAAAGCACCAGCTGTGGATATTTCTGAGTTTGTCTCCCTGTAATGCTGCGAGCCCCTCAAGTTCATACACATTAAATGAAAATGTATCTCTAATCCAGTTTTAGCTTGCATCAAGAACAGGAATTTATTAACAGAAACTATGCTGCAAATATTCCAAATGTCATGTGATAAGTCATGTGTGCTCCTCACACAACTCTTCATCGGTGGAATCAAGAATTTTAGTTTGAAAATAGTTCTCATAGTTCCAGCTCGATAGCCACAATAACAGAATTCCAACATTTTTATCATTGCTTTGATCTTGTCTTCAACCTGAAAAACTGTAACTATGCAGTGGGAAGAAATGTCACATGCTATCTCTCAGCCACTCAGCATCATTCACTTGCATGTTCTCATCATGTGCAGAAATATCAAGCAGTTATTTGCTATCAAATAGTTATTTTCATAACCAATGTTTACTTTTGTTTGTTTCTAATGGAGGTGGTAGGTTAGAAATGCCACATTTTACACAAAAAGGAAGGAAAATTAACATTTTACTCTAATTTTCCTTTTTTATTTCTTGCTCTCATTAATAAATTAATTCTGTTTTAACTGCAAAATGTCATGACATTTCTTCAAGTCTTTGCCAATTCCCTGTGAGGACGCTGTAGTGCCCCCCCAGGGGGGGGGGGTTTACAGACCACAGGTTAAGAAGAGCAGCCATAGATAAAATATCTCTCAGGACCCATATAAATCAATTAATTGCCACATTCATATGATTCCCATGAATCCAGTTTGCTGCCCATATCCTGTTAATAACCCATCTTGCAAGGTTTCGGCCCACTGACATTGCTTTATACTGTGAATAATGAATAGGAGCTGTTTACCTTTGAAGTTCTTGACAAGTGAGATAAAAGCATGATATGGACGCTGTTTTTTACTGGGGACTCCTATAAGTATTGCATGCACTTTGCCACTGAACTCCAGCCCTTCTATAACTATAATAGCTCTGCCACAAGTTCCATGAATAAGTTCCAAATCCCTACCATTTTTACAGCACAGTCACATACTATTTCTGTTTTCTAACCAAAAGATTAAAAAGCATACATTCAAAAGATGCACAGGACTAAAAAAAAAAAAAAAAAACCCAGTTTTCAGGACACATGTTTCCTACGCTGGTGCAAACTATCGTTCTTGATTCATCTGCTTTTATGGCAAAAACAGATTATTTGCATAAGATGTATAAAGTAACCCCAAATTATGCTATTTATTTAACTTATAAGGGGAACAACTACTGTATTGCATTTACAGTTTAAAGTCCAAACTTTTATAGTTTACATTTACTTTTACATTATATTTACAGTTTAGAGTCTAAACACCAAATACCAGCTGGTGGCCCTTCAGAATAATTTCAGACTTTCCAATAATAATTAGCACTCTTGAATGTATATTATTGATTAAGAGAAAACGTATGGTATTACAGATGCCTTTAGACCAGTGTTTCCCGAAGTGGAAGTTATGATCCCAAAGGGGTTTGCAATGTATTTTTTGGGGGGTTGTGGGTCACCTTATATGTATTGCAGCCCTTGTTAAGTAATTTCTTCCTTGATCTTTAAGAGAAAGACACTCCTATTAAAGTTAGTGTGTATGGGTATGTATGAGAAGCAGGAAGAAAGAAGCCTCTACTTTCTGAAAAGAGATGACTTTACCCAATTAAAATGCATTTTATGCAAATAGGCTAAGAAAGGCGAAAAAGCCCATTGCAGCTCTTCAAAATTTGCACTGTGAGAGAGGGAGAAGGTGTGTGCACATACATGCATGCAGGAGGATGAAAATGTTTGCTACTGTTTTCTGAGTACTCTTAAGTATTTCACACTATCTGGCTAAATCTTCCAAAGGATTATTTGCCAAAATCACTACCAGTTAAGCTACATTTTCTTCTAGAAGAAAATCAGTTCTTTGTTACAACTAACTCCTGGACAGATAACTTTACATTCTGGTTAATGTTATACACCAGTTAAACATAAAAGTTTTAAAACATTTTAGCTAAACAGACAACTACAAGTGATAAATTAGAGATCGCTCATTCATACACTCATTATTACATAATCATGTGCCATTTCTTTCACCTTCTTCCCAGCTTCATTTAGTGAACAGATGGTGTCAAGGGAATGAATCAGAGCTGTCTAGTTAATGAAGCTGTGTGTAGAAGTCCAACCTCATTTGCAGCAAAACCTGCAAAGCTGACACACACAATAAGAGGGGAGAAGGATGCACTAGTCAAGTCCATTCCTGCCTCCTCTGTAGACTTCTCTGTCATATCATGCAAGTCACTGAACTTAATCTGGCTGGGTACCTCAATTTAAATCTGTTGTTTCTTGGGTGGAAAAAAGAAAAACCTCATCTGTGAGCCCCGTCAGCCAAAGCAGCTTCGGCAGGAATTACCCCTTCCATCTTTGATTCCACAGAAGACACCATAAAGGCTTGAACAATAACAGGATTTATTAAAATGGGGACAGGGGAAACCTATAAAGCACAAGGAGCTCCTTTAGAGATAGTTCCCTTTATTTCCTGTAAGTGTCCTTTAGATCAGCTATTCTCAGTCCTTCTTTGGTCACAGGGTTTTTTAGGAACTCTTCTCAGGTTCAAAGGCTCCCTATCAAAGAAGGATATACACAAACAGATGAGTAGAACATTTTTTTTCAATCTGTGGCCCTTTTCGAATATGCTAGGGCTAACCAGGAGGCCACATGAACCCTTATTAAGAATGACTGCTTTAGAGTTCAAACATCCCCATTATTGCCAATAACTCAGTCTCCTTCCCTCCCTTCTCAACAGGTTGAATCCTGATGTCCACCCCCTCAACATCTGCAATAGGGAGGGCCTATATGCCCATACCAAAGACAGTGATGGCAGTCCTAGTTCTGACTGGCAGGTCACTGTTGCTCAGCTGGGCATTATCTTTAGGCTTTTTCAGGACTGGGGCCATGCCGGAACCGTGCAACTTTAGGTGCAGGCAGGATCGGCCCCATCTCTCTGGGGGAGAACTGCTCTAAAGATTGCAGGACTAGGCCCTTTCCCTGCAGCTGTTGCCCAGCTCCTCAGGAGTGCCGCCTATGGAAGCAGAGGGCTGGACTATGTAAGACCAGGTCTTCTCCAAGGGGAGAAAATCAGCAAAATTAATTTTAAAAAGCCTGGAAGATCTATTGAAGATAGACCAAGCGCATAAAGATCTAGTGGAGATAAATCAGATGCACAAAATGGTTTCAGAGGGCATGAAAGATGGCAGAATGCTTAGAGAGACAGAAACAAAAAGTGAAAAAAGAGAAATAAGAGAGGGAATTACTTAGAAAGACGAAAAAGGGAAAAATAGGAAAGGGGCCCTTAATGTTGAAAAACATGTATGTATTTAACTTCGAGAATTGTAAAGGAGCATATCCTTTATATTAAAAAGGAGAATTAAATTGAAATAAGGGAGCTCTAACCAGGGTAAAGATGTAATATGGTGGGTTATCTTTTTAGGTAAATTAAACTAGATATAAGGTTGGGGCATGGATCTGGAACTATTTTTATTAAGAATATTATTAGAAGATCTTGAGAATATTGTACACTATGAAAGTAATACTATGATAGTAGTCATATTATATACTAAAATACGTACATGAATGGTTTGAATGTTTGAAAGATGTCTGGAATTTGGGGGGACAGCTGGGAAGACACTGAGGTGTAAAAATCAAATAATTGTAAGCAAATCATGTAACACGATGTTTGACAAGCACAAATCAAATGTAGAGTAGAAAACTAATAAAATATTTTTAAAAAACAGGTCTTCCCCACAGACCTTTGCGTCAGCAATGAAGGTTTTGGGCTATGCTGTGGTATTGTTCCTGCCTTGCCTGGTGATTCCTGCCCTGCCTGCCTGGTTGTTCCTGCCTTGCAAGCCAGCCTCCCTGTTCCTGCCTTGCCTGGTGATTCCTGCCCTGCCTGCCTGGTTGTTC